GAGGGTCAGAAGGGTGAGGCCAATGTCCTGCTCCCAGTGAATCTGGCTGCTCTACCCCTTCTAGTTCCCGCTCCTGAAGTGTTCCAAGGCAAGGCATCGTCTTCGGGAAGCATCAGTTTCCAGGATCTGATGAAGGCCAGCAATGTCCATGTGAGCCAGCCGCTCAAGCTGCAGGCCAACAATGGCATGAGCCAAATTCAAAAGGAACAGGCTGCCATCCACCAGCTGATCCTCAATCATCTTGGCGAGCAGACGAAACTTTTCCAGAAGCAATCTCTGGGCGATGGCAAGAGTTCCCAGCATGCTTCGCCAGTTGGAGTCCAGGAAGAAGAGGAGAGCTCTGTACTATTTGCCGTGGAGATCCCGAAGCCTATCTACCGCTTTTTCAAAGGCATCTTTGGTGGTTTCTCCAACTAAGAAGCCAAGGATCCCAACCGAAAAAAACTACCAATAACTTGAATGGAATGACATACTAGGAAATTAGCATATATTTAGGTTACTAATAAATAATTTTTAATTAAAACAAATTATATTGCAACCGAAAGAACAAAAAAGAACTAAGAAGGATTTACATACTAATAAACATAGCATATATTTAGGTAATTAATTAATAATTATGAATTCAAATACAATAAATTACATACCAACCTAGTAAGAAATCATTTTATTTTATTTATTGTTTCAAGAACATCAACCCTAGTTTGTTGGCTTGTACATTTAAACACTGGTTCTTATAAAATTTAAAGCCTCTTTGAATCGGATACCAATAAGAAAGCAATTTTTTTAAACGATTAAATGAGGTTACAGCATTAAAATTTCAATAAAATTAGTTCTGGTGAAACTAAGCCACAAACTTTTAGGGGTATGCCTTTGGGTTATACTTAAAGAAAAAGTCCCAATCTAATATTTTTAACTGGTTCCTTCAATCAGGCAACTAAGAAACACATAAATTCAACCTGCTCTCACACATTAACAGCCATTCCCAACTCAATTCAAAGAAAACTCGTGCAAATATGATAAATGTGTGTATTTATGAATCATTACCCGGGCATTTCATTCAGATAGAGATAGAGAGCAGTCAGGAAGAGCTCACACATTCGTCATACTACATTAGGTTATCAAGCCAAGATAGATATAATCAAAATGTGAGAACAGACCCGCAAGCACACACAAAAAGTGGGGTCATTATGCAGAAAATGTATACCAGCCAGATGCATTCATGACTGCTCAACTTTTTCCAACCCTTAGGTTGCAGTATTTTCATTTGGCAGCCGGAGTCGAAGCCCGGGATGCAGATGCTCTGCTCACAGGCATTCGTACACGGGAACGTGCATCCTTCTGCCGTTTGCCATTTTAATGAATACATAATTAGTCTTTTTGCCAAGCTCTCTCAATCCACCCACTCATCTTCCCAGCCTCACCTCCTCTTCAGAGCTTCTTCTGGCGATGCCACTGCAGCACCTGTTCAAATCATTTCTCATCAGAATTTAATGCCCATGCAGCAACACGTTCTTTTCCGTCCATATACACTTTAACCAAATGGATATCCCAGAATTTAATTAAATCATAACGTTAGTTTAAGACTTTAAACACTATAATTGCAATTTTAATGAAACGAAAATTGTATACACTTTAAAAATCTATTTTATTACTTTTGAATAAAAGAAAATATTGCTTTTATGTTGTTTAGAAAACTATTTATTCAAGTATTTATTTTTTATTTACTTTCTTTAATTCAAATTTAAAATTAAATCAAATGTGTCCCTAATCTTTTACCCAAATTCACACCAAGTATTACCGTGTATTTTGCATGTGTAATTCTCTTATTGGTTCATTTCATACTTTTATGCAATATGGAGATAATGTTTGCTCCTGTTCAGGTCCATCGCACAAAGAGAGCAAAGAAAGGGATAATGGGGGACAGAGATGGCAGCACATAATTGCCAGGATTACGCTGGCTCATAAAGTTTTCCCAGGCATTTGCAATTGTGTTTGCATTTCTCTTCAATATCGGGGGATCCACAAATGTTTGAGTGGAATGGTGGGGGGCAGAAGGAAATTGCTATTTGCTGATATCGTTTATTTAATATTTAATTGAATCCATGCCGAGTCGCTTTTTTTCCATTAACAAACGGCATGTCCCGTTTCACTTACCGCACTCATCTCGATAGTGCCCGTGCCCAATTGTCCTGCGAGTCCTTTGCGGGACATTAGTCCCGGCTTATCGGTCTATTTGGGTGCGCAAATTGCAGATGAAATTTTCGAAAATACCTGCACTAAACCGAGCTCAACCACCGCATGGTATTCGAATAAATTCCCAGCGATTGCTATCTGTTTTAGCGGGTTTTGTACGTGCCGGAGACCACAACAACCACTGAATCATTTTACTTTCAAACCTCTATTATGCAATGTCAGAGCAGTAGCCGCTTTAAACCGAATATATGTATATGGAGATTGAAAATAAAATAAATTAATAACTTCTAGTTAAAGATGTAAGCCGCATCCTTTGCAGCGGCCTTTGGGGGCCCGAGTTTATTACTCAAAGGAATTGGATGGGGCCCAAAGTAGCAGCGGATGCCCATAAATATATCATGAAATCAAAAACTTTGCCACAACTTCTACTTCTGGTTGGCTGCCACTTCTTTTTGATTGGTGGCAAAGCCACCGCACCCAATACATACACGGGGAAAAAAGTTTTAAACTTTTAAATAGATTTAATAGAGCAGGAAAAATAAGTTTTAAATTCTTTTAACTTATTTATATTTTAACAGAGCTTTGTATTTGTTCTAGTTATCAAATTTCTTTGTCTTATATTATCTTGTAAAATTTTTAAAAATTTAAAGATAGCCAAATTCCACATTGTTCGAATTATCAAAAAGTGATTTTAACATAAATTTATCCTTATTTCTGGAGTTTATATTACCAACGGTGAAGTACAAATCTTGATTAAATTTATTGTTGTTTTTTCCTCTGTGCTTACACCCACTGGACCACCCTACACTTGCGTGTAAATGTGTGGGGCAAAGTGCTGGCCACACGAACAACAAGAGTAGCAGAATTTGTAGCAGGAACAGGAGCAGGACCAGTCGCTCAAAGGAGCAGAGTAATGCGTTTCCGTTTCCGGAGCGGGCTTCATGGCATCAGCTCCTTGCCTTTCGCCTTCCCTCCTTTCCTTTCTTGGCCCGTGGTGCCAGTCAATTCAATAAAACTTGTGTCCATTTCATTTAAAATTCTCTGTTCTATCTCTGCGGTGTGAACCCGGCGTCTCCACTCCTCTGGTCCTGCCTCGCAAATTAATGGTGTTAAAATTAGTGGCTCAGACGGAGTGGCTGCCCGCATCCTCGCTCAAACTTTGCCATCTGCCCATGACTCTTCCTCCGGTGGCACCCTCTTCTATTTATTTAGTTGTCACTCTGTGAAAATTATGCCGCCTGGCTTTTTTGCTCCTACGACACGTGTAACTGGATCTTGGTTCTTTCGGACCATCTTACACACCCACCCGGCAAAAACTTTTTCTCCTTAAAGTTTATACCTTAGACCAACTTTTTTAAACTTTTCTCCTTCACTCTGTATTTTCAGGTGCGATTCAGGAGCGTCGTTTTTTTGGCATCCTCCGCTCGGCGAAAAGGAAGGACGGTAAGTGGCCGGGTGTTGCAAAAACGAAGCCTCGATGGAAAACCGAATATTTCCCTAATGAAACCAATTAAGCAAACAGCAAAATGGCCAAAAATTGTGGCTGGAAAAATGAAAAATCAAAGGCTAGACGAAGGGTAAACATGGCAGAGAACGGGTGAAAGTGGGATAAGCACGGTGAAAGGATTGCCTCAATTACGAAATGAACACACAAGGGAAAAGTTCGTCGATTGTCGGATTTTACACATTTAAATGTCCTGTGGCTGATTGAAAAGAGCTTAAACCAGTTTAAAAGTTTATATTGAAGGGGAAAGTTTATATTATAGGTTGCTTTTAAGTACGATTTAGAAATTTAATAAATTTTAATATGTTAACAGTATAAGAATATAACTGACATTTTTAATTAAAAAGTCATTTTCATAATAATTTATAATTGCATTATAATCTTCCGTCAATTTTACCTTTTTCGAAAAGTGAAATGATAGTTTGACATTAAATGTTGGCATTAAAACCCTGATTTTTGGGTGGCAAGAGGACATGTTCCACTTTGGTGCAAATATAGATTGAAAGCTTTCCTGAGCGGGCAAAAGCCATTTGCCAAAATCAATACATTTATTTAGACCGCAGGCTGGAGAGTGAAAAGCAAATCAAATGCTGGCAAACGACACAAAATGTATTTAGCATTTGGAGGCATTGTCGAAGCGGCCAAATATTGTAAAGGTAACTCAAATAGCCCAATCCCCGGCCCATCCAAAGTACCGGACTTGTTCTGGGCCGACTGCCTATTTGGTTTTGGCCAAATCGTTTTACGCTTTGTTGCCGCCAGCTATTCGCCCAGCCAGGATGCAAATATGTGCAGAGGCTTAACGTATCCAATAAAGCCAGGAAATGACAGACATACAGTAGAGGGGCACAGGCACACAGGCGAAAGCCGAGCCACTGATGGACAAAGCTCTGCGGACTCAGTTCGTCATCAGTGGACATAAGCAGCTCAGTGGCTCATACAGAGCAAAAAGGATTTCGGCATTAAATGGCTCTAGTTTTTTAATATTGCCTTCCTTTTAAATACATTTTTTCTATATAATTATTAAGTACAAAAAATTAAAATAAGTTCTTAGGCTACTTAAAAGGAGATTTTTGGATTTTCTAGGTTGTCAGAAAGATTGAAAGTAAGACACAGCCTTTAAAATATACATGATATGACATTGTAAATATTTTTAAATTGTTTAATTAAACTTGTTATATTGTTGTACTTAAGAAACATTTAAAAACTGTCAATAAATTGCTAGAGCTTAAAATATTATTTATAAGTGCTTTAATTAATCATGATTCATTAGTGTTATTCGCACCCAAAAATTTCTCGCGTGCAGTGAGCTCAATGTTTAATCCGCTCAGTTGATTTCGAGCCTTTACCACGTGTCCAGTGGATTAGATGTGGCTCAGGCCCAACAACTTCATCTGTTGCGTGAGGGGCTTTAATTCGTTTCGCGGCAACAATGTTGCCAGTGCGGCGGTGGTGCGATTTATATCGCTGGCCTTAAATGTCATTACCAGCTAAATGCCTTTAAATAGGCCCCATCCATTCGGACTGAGCAGTTGGCGCCATCCGAAAGTGCGACCAGTGAGCAACGACCAGTGACCACCGACCACCGAACGGCGGCCACCCGTCGAGTGTCTTTATAGACTGGGATCGGGTTTTCCTCGTGGAACGGTCAGACGCATTTATCATCCCGACCTGTGACGCGCTGTCGCCTTCAATTACACGCAAATTATTCTGCGCTCAACGAACGGCGGCACCTGTGTTTACCTGGCCTCGCATCTGAATGGAGAATCTGCACTGGGTTTATCTTTATTGGAGCCATCTGTCGGAAAGCAGAATGGGAGGCCAGTGATCAATCTGCCTTGTGTCAGGCTCTAGCGAACTGATGCCAATCTGATGCTCCAGTTCATAGCTGTTTCTCTGGCAGCGATTAAATTGATTGATCAATAGGTGTTTGGAAAAGGCGGATTAGAAGTTATGCCAAATTGGATATTCGAAAGGTGATTAAGACAAAGTGCAAATAGAAGACCTGAATTGTTACGAATATCAGGTCCTTACAAAATCTTGAATAATATAAATGATTTTAAAATACTTCTTAAGCTCTGATGATTAGTCAAAGTCATAATTAAATTTGTGGCTTTTTAAAGTCAATGATTTCCCAGCATTTAAATTGGCAATTTAATAAAGAAGCTAAACTTGTCTGGCCATTTTATTCGAATCTATGAGTATTTCCATTTACTTCATTCAGCCGCTTCTCGTTTCTTTTAATTGTCCACTAAAATATGCCGCATGCCCGAGTCGAGAGCTATGTAAATACTTCAAGTTTTCCTCAAGTGCGCGACTGCAGCCAAGATGTTCAAGTCTTTTCCTCTGGACCCCACCAAATCGCACCCTCTTTTTGCGCCCAGCCCACTGCTTTCTAATTAAACAATACAAATGCGAATTGGTAGCCAAAAACAAAGACACAAATTCCGAGCTATAGGAATTTGGCGGTGTCGAGACTTGGGCTTCGTCAACAATTGCGTAGTGTAAATGTGGAGAGGGGATCACTGTTGCCTGGAATTTTATAATTAATCGGTGGGGATTTTGCACACGTCTCTTTATTCACAACCAGCCATCCCTTAGGTCTACAAAGTCGTCTAACTCCTCGGCATAATCCTCGGCAGTGCCACCTTCCTCGCCATGTCGCGAGTAGTGATTAAAAATCATGTCCCTGGCCGCCGGTATTACCTTGCCGCTCTCGCATCCGTGCATGTCCTCGTACGTGATTTCGCCATGGCCCATTCCGCCCAAATCGTAGCTCCCGTGGCCGCTGATTCCTCCATGGCCACCTCCTCCTCCGGCTCCACTTCCTCCTCCTCCCTTGGCTATGCCACCTCCGTGTGTGGAGAAGCCAAGCACTTTGTACACCGTTTGCTTCACACCACCTCCTCCACCGCCGCCATGCGATCCGTGGAGCACCTTGTAAACGGTGTGGGTGTGATGGTGCGTCTTCACCTTGACCGGCACGTGGATGATGAGGCGCCGGTGGCCCAGGCGCCGCGCCTGAATTCCCGTCGCTAACAGCAGGAGCATTATGGCAAGGACTTTACCAGCCATCGAGGGACTCCTTGATGACATCTTTTTGGGTGAAAATCAAAGGGAAGGAAGTGTTAAGTGTTCTATTCCTTGGGGGAAAGTGCTACAATTGATAGTAATTGAAGGAAACACACATTGGAATGTATAGGTCAGGAAATTGAATTGAAACTCAGGAAAGATCCTCTGGGTTAAAACGTTTAAATTTTAATTGTATCATTTAATCAAAAATATTATAAATTTAACACCTTACACAACAAATTTTAAAAAGACGCTTTAAGTTGAAAAATGTAAGATTGAAAAATTTAAATATTTTTAGATAAGATTTTTTTTAGTGTAGTTGTTAATTACATTTTTTTTTTAACAAAAAGTTGTATATTTATAATTTTGTTTAAAAGAAATTTAACACCTTACACAACAAATGTTAATAAACTGCTTTAAGTTGAATAAAGGTCACAAAACTATTTTCAATAGGTCTGATTTTAAGTTGACCAAAATGGTCAGCTTTAACTTGACTCACTGTAGTCATTTTGTTGATGTAGATGTTGTTAATGTTCCTGTTGATGCTGGTTAATAAGGTCCTTTAATTAATCCTTTAGTTTGTCCACTCCGACCACCGAATGGCGCGCGTTCGCTTTCAATACTGTGTGGGCCGGCTGATATGGATGGGGCTTTTATATTGATGCGGTAATCAAGTTCAGTGCACCATGGCCGCATGTGGCGTACTTATGGAGTTCCCTCTCATCCACCTATCCATCATTATCTTCGTCGGCGGCGGTGTCGATTGCATTGCAGCCTCCACGGAGCCGCAACATTTGCATGTGCAGCACCACAGTCGCGTCCAGAGTTACGTGTGCCTAATTATTGCTTACAGCTTGTTGCTTGTTGCAACACTGAGAGAAATACCGTAATATTTATTTTACTAAACACCAAATATTTATTTAAGGTTAAAATACAAAATCTAAGATCCACGTGCTTTCTTTAATTTGGTTTTTAAGGCATAAGCTTCAGTTTATAGAAATATTTTATTTTTAGTTTAATTCGATTGACAAATATTAATTAAATTTTTCTTGTTTTAAGAAAATAAACGTACAAAAAGAATGCTCTGGATTTTTAAAAATTAGACATATAATGAAACGGATTGAATGTATAAATATAAATGTAAATATTAATTACAATTTTAGCATATTTTAAAACAGATAAAACAATATGAAAATTTTTTATTATTCTTGTAATTTTTTCTCTCAGTGTGTCCCTTGCTTGGGGCGCGGTCACTGCTCAGTAGAGCGTTTGAAGTATTTTGCGCCAACAAAACAATTTTCGCCACAGCCTCTCTGCTCCTGAATTGTTGAATCGGAAGCGGCGTTTTGGTGACTGGCTCTGGGAGCCTGCAAAACGGAATTACCATTGCCATTCATGGCCACTGGAATCTCACATACGCCACCGCTCAATTTTCAACCCAATCCCATATAAAAACTATCTAATCCGACGCGCTTTGTTCAACATTTTATGCAACGCCGCGAAATGCGGAAAAGACATAGATTCGCTCGTGTTTTCTACTTAACATTATTACTTTAATTACCCGACAAGCATGCGAGAGGTGGCCAGGGGCCAGTATTTAATTCGTTGCGTATTAAATATTCGTTTCATTAGCATTTGCCAGCGATCGATTTCATTTACATACGTAACTTGGACAATAGCTCACCTAGTTTACGGGGCGTATGCGTAACATATCACTAAGCAAATTATGTTTGTATTATTATAAAAGCATGTCTTTTCCATATTTATTTAGAAATTTATAAAGGAATAAATAACACATGTTTAAATTAAAAGATTTCGAGTTCAATTCTCGATTATTTAATTAGCTATTTATAAATATCCCCCGCTATTTTTTTATTAGCACAGTTTTTTTTTATACTGGCACTTTCCATTCAATAAATCTTAAGATTTTAATCAATTAAATTTATAATTGGCAAGCAAATTTATGGTGGCAAGCTGCTCAGCAAGGGCCATAAAATTATTACCATTTTACGACTTTTGGAAATTAATTGGAACTTGGCTCATTGCGATGCATCAGTAACTACAACTACATGTATGTATGCAATCCACATGCCTTTTCCTCTTTATATGGATTTAATATCGCGCACAGAATGTGCACTCGTAAAAAGCCCAAGCACACTTACGCAACAGAATGAAAATCCAGAAGAGAAGAGTTCTCGGCCCACCAGCATATGGCTAATGAAACGTGGCCCGAAAGTTTGTCCGTCGGGCAGATAAATTGCAGTAATAAGTAAACTCTGAAATGCGTTGTGGAAGACGTGCGCCATGAATTCTATAACTTTATGGCAATGGCCCACTCTAATTGTCCCGAAACCGGGTCCCTTCAGGAGATTGGGGAAATGAAGATTCTCGCGAGCTCCTTGCTGCCACCTTCACCTCTTTACCTTTTTATGCCCTGGTAGGGTATTACTAGATACCTCTAAGTTGGCTCTGAACCTAAGCAGGCATCTGAGATCTAAGAAAATATGTTCTCTGATAAACTAAAAATATTTTATTCAAAACTTTAAAGCAAAGATGAAAAAATACATTTAAAATACCACAATGATCTGATGCAAATTAATTAAATCGGATTTTTGTTTCAATTTGGTTGTAATTCTTTTAGTTTACGATATTATGTTACGATTCATAAAATTTTTTTTTGTATTCTCTAAATTTTTCATAGACAAACTATAAATATTACATTTTGTGTCGAAAGAGAAAGTTAATGATCGATAATATATGAGAATAAATTAAAACGTTTCTCTTTTTCTTTCAAGAAAGTAAAGACTATGTAAGCATTATCACTGTTGAAAGTATTTTTTCAAAAGGGTATTTTCTGTTTCCTAGTAGGGGATAACCTTTTACAGCTTCCCCAAAATGTTTGCCCTGGCGTAGTAATAATTTTGATCAACTTTTATAAGCGGCGTCATCAACCTGTGTGTCAGGGGCGTCGAAGGGTGTAGGAGTGTGTATTGTGGGGATGGGTGTTTGGGATGCAAGGGTCTTCTAACAGCTGCAAGAGCTAAGCCCCAAGTTTTGTTGTTGCTGCTGCTTTGGTTGTTATGCCTAGCCATAAACTGCATGCGAAATTACCAAAAAGCTCGCACACACGCCTCGAACACACCCACAGTTTGTTGGATTTAAGGGCAAAAAGTTGCTCATTTACAGCAATCTGGTTGCGAAGGATAACGAGGGGTGACTAAGGGGGCAGCCTAGAGGATGCTGCTAATAAAATGAGAGTCGAGGCGCTAACAAGCCGCAGCGGACCGAGGCGGAGTACGGTAGCCAGAGCTCCGGAAAACCCGAAAGGCAGTGAAACTAACCCAACCAAGCAGAGTCGTAAATCCTGCCTCTGCTGCTCTGTTCTGCCTTCCCAAAAAATACAACCCACAAACCCCTGAGTCCTGCCTGCACTATCCCAACCCGTATCCGGGCTAAGCAAACTCGTAAATTTGAGGAAATTACAACATGAAAGTCCTGGCCGGCAATGCGCGACTCTAAATTAAATAAAAATACACGGGGAGGGGTATTAAAATGGTTGCACCGCGGGAAATTAAAAGACCCCGTTATACAAGAAACACTATTTTAAAACAAGACATTTTTTTTATTATTTGTTTTGAAAATTTTTTAGGCATTAAATGTAGAAAATTTATATGAGTTTTAATTTTATATATTTAAACTTACCATTATTTTATTAAGTACCCCATGTTTATTTTGGAAAGCATAGTTTTCGCTTTTTGAAAATAGAATTTTCAACTCATTTTTAAAATCACATACAAAAAAAAAAAGAAAAATGCATTTTCTTTCTCTCATTAGAAAAGTAAATGATTATAAAGAATTGACCACTTAATTTAACTTTTGAAGACGACATTCGTTAAAAACAATTTAAAAGATCATTAAAAAAAATTTCACTTTTTCACTTTCGTTTGATCATAAAAAAATTGTATTTATTTATTTATAATTTGATGGAAGTTGAGTTTGGCGACTGGTTATTCCCGGAAATCAACACTTGCAGTATTAAATTGCGGCCAACTTAGCATCATTATTAAAATTATCTTTACGGCGAATTGGAACACGGCGAATTTGATCGCGATACTTGTGTGTATGTATTGGTGCGAGCAAAGATGTTAAAACGAATTTTAAACACTAAAATTTAATAGTTTTTTTGATTTCAAAGGTTGCACAACCTGGATAAATTGATTTTTGACCGATAATGCTTTGACTTGATGTAAAGTATACATTTTGTAGTTGCTTTTTAGATAGGAAATAATTAAAGTATAATTAGCAAACTGTAAAAGCTGCCCGAGACTTTTTTGTAAACGCAGAGTGTTTATTTTCTTTGTTTTGCAAATTTCACTTAGTCACAGGTGTTTAAACTATTATATTCGGTGTTTAATTGGCAAAAATTCAATAAAAATAAGCGTTTAGAAAATATTTGCGTCCGACGGGAAAACGAGCAAATTGCAAATGACAGCCAATTGAGAGAGGAAGAGAAAAAAAGAATCAGAATCTAACGGAACAAGGATCTCTCTTTTAAAGAGAACTTTTAATAGATTTATTTAACGGTAAATAAATATATTGCAACTTCTCTTTAAAAGAGATTACAAAAAATATTTCAAAAGCTCACAAATATTAATTAAACATTAAACAACATAAATTAATCATAACTGGTGGTTTACCCTGCAGGGCATGACCAATTTTTTCCAGTGTCGAAGGGTGTTGAAAGGGGAGGCCTAGAACAAGGGAGCTAGTAAAAACTTTCCGCACCTGTTGGCCAAATTCGCACTATGAACAGGAGGGCGGGGAAGGAAAGGGGCAGTCCGAAAAACCTGGCGTTAATTAAAGCTGCAACATAAGCTCTCGTAGGACATGGCCCACTGATCCTGGTGGATTGCCGGATTTCTGAATTGAATGGGTGGTCGGGTGGTGGTGGCCACTCGGGAGTTCAAGTGGGTGGTTGGGCTGGGTTGGGTGGACTCTATTGCCCGCGCAATAGAAATTCGAGGCAGCGGCAAAAGTTTCGCCATCCGGTCGAGATTTATGTCAAACTAAAGCACTTGATGGCAGAATAGTTGGCATTTAATGGCTGCATAATTGGAGTTTGTTTGGAAAGTGCCGTAACTAATGGGTCACGGTTCTATGCGCCGAATGGGCGGCAATCCGTGGGCGTAACTCCAGGTTAATGCGAACAAATTGCCATTTATTTGCGGGCAACTTTGCTAAGCCACTGTCTCACAGGTGGAAACTTATCTAATGGCCGTGGACAGGCTTCGAGTGGGGGAATTAGTATAACTCAATTTGTGCTGTCTCGCAGGGGGACACATTTGAAATGTTTCTAACGCCAAAAGTTGCACTTGAATGGGTCTTTATTGGAGCTACTAAATACCAATTTCTATATATTTTTACGATTTTTATGATTACCGATAATGGGGAAATTTTATTATTACTGTTGTTATTTTGTAATTGTAATCTATGTATCATAATAATATTCGCTTCTCTAAATCTACTACAAATCTGAAAGCTTTAAAAAAATGTTTTTTTTTTCATGTTTTCTATTTGATAATTTGGGCACTTATAATATTTTTATTTGCTTACGTTTCTAGCAGAATGATGATGCTTGCCATTTAAAAATAATATTAGTATTATTTTTAGATTAACAATTTATAACTACATTTTTAAAGGCACTTAACATTAATATTTATATTATATAGCTTTACTAATTTTTTATTATTTTATTCTTTCTACATG